AGAAAATCATCACTTGGCCAAAACCGCATCTGCGGTCCACCAACCGCATATGCGGCTCCGCAGGTGCGGCCACCCACCGCATCTGTGGTTCCAGCCTTCCTCCTTCAAAACCGCATCTGCGGTTATTCCCCCATGTGCGACACTGCACCTGCGGTCCCCAAGCCACAGGTGCGAAAATACCAGCAACAGCAAAAACTCTGAAAATTTCCCAAGTTCAAAATCTTCCCGTAAGCCATCCGAAATCACCCCGAGGCCCCGGGACCTCAACCAAAAGCACCAACACCTCCTAAAACCTCATTCAAACTTGTTCCAATCATCAAAACACCTCAAACAACACCAAAACCATCAAATGACATCGGATTCAAGCCTAAGTTCTTTTAAAACTTCCGAAACACGCATTCGATAAAAAACCCAACCAAATCACCTCCGAATGACCTGAAATTTTACTCACACATCCCAAATCACATAATGAAGCTACAACAACTCTCGGAATTCTATTCCGACCCTCGGATCAAACTCTCACCTATCAACCGGAAATCGCCAAAATACTAACTTCGCCAATTCAAGCCTAATTCTACACCGGACCTCCAAAACCAATTCCGATCACGCTCCTAAGTCATAAATCACCCAACGAAGCTAACCAAATCATAAAAATTCTAATCCGAGCTCATTTACAATAAGTCAACTCTTGGTCAAACCTTTCAAATTCAAAGCTTTCAACTGAGACTGTTCTTTCAAATTCATACCGATTTTCGTAAAACCAAAACCAACGATCTACATCAGTAATAACACATTACACGGGATAAGTCATGCCCGAGAATTGGCGATCAAAGCGCAAAAGCTCAAAACGACCGGTCGGGTCGTTACACTACCAAAAGTCAAAACAACCTCGGGAGGAAATAGCAGATGGTATGCCTAATGAGGAAAATCCGAGAAGAAGTAAATGTCAACGGACATCTACTTCATTCGGTCCAGATTTTCTGGCTTTCCTGCTAGAAAATGAGCCTCGAACCTTCAAGGAAGCAATGTCTTCCTCAAAAGCGTAATATTGGAAAGAAGCTGTCAATAGTGAAATAGAATCCATATTGAGCAACCATACCTGGGAATTTGTTGATCTTCCTCCAGGTAACAAAACATTGGGTTCTAAATGGATTTTCAAGAAGAAAATGAAAGACGATGGTACTATTGACAAATACAAGGCAAGACTTGTTGTCAAAGGATTTAGACAGCGAGAAGGACTTGACTATTTTGACACATACTCGCCGGTAACAAGAATTACATCCATTCGGATGCTAATAGCGTTAGCCGCCTTATATGGTCTTCAAATCCATCAAATGGATGTAAAAACAGCCTTCTTAAATGGTGATCTAGAGGAAGAAAATTACATGAACCAACCTGAAGGGTTTGTGGTTCCGAGAAAAGAAAAGAAGGTGTGTCGACTTGTTAAGTCCCTTTATGGACTAAAACAAGCACCCAAGCAATGGCATGCGAAATTTGACCAAACCATGTTGTCAAATGGCTTTAAGATTAATGAATGTGGTAAATGTGTTTACATTAAGAACGTTCCAAATCGTATAGTCATTATTTGCTTATATGTTGATGATATGCTAATAATGAGCAAAGACATTGCCGACATTCAAGCTACTAAGCGTATGCTTGCTAGTAAGTTTGATATGAAAGACTTAGGAGTTGCCGATGTAATTCTAGGAATTAAAATCCAGAGGACTCCTTAGGGTCTAGCTTTGTCTCAATCACATTACGTGAAAATGGTACTTGAAAAATTCAAACACTTGGAATTTAGAAGTGCAAGAACTCCAATTGACTTAAACCATCATCTTATAAAGAATAAAGGTGAAAGCATATCTCAATTGGAGTATGCTCGTGTGTTGGGAAGCTTAATGTACATCATGAACTGTACACGACCTGATATAGCTTGTGCAATAAGTAAACTTAGTCGATTCACAAGTAATCCCAACAAACATCACTGGGTGGCAATGAAACGAGTTCTGGGATATTTGGAATATACCCAAGACTACGCTTTGCACTACAATAAATATCCTGCGGTTATCGAAGGATATAGTGATGCAAATTGGATAACCGGCTCAACAGAAACAAAGTCCACAAGTGGATATGTTTTTACTGTTGGTGGAGGAGCAGTATCTTGGAAGTCTTCCAAACAGACGTGCATTGCTCGCTCTACAATGGAATCAGAGTTTATAGCTTTGGATAAAGCCGGTGAAGAAGCTGAATGGCTTCGAAATTTCTTAGAAGACATTTCGTTCTGGCCAAAACCTTTGGCTCCTATATGCATACATTGCGATAGTGAGGCTGCAATAGGACGGGCAGGAAGCGTTATGTATAACGGAAAGTCTCGTCATATACGACGAAGACATAACACCGTTAGACAACTACTTTCTAGTGGAATTATCACTATTGATTATGTAAGATCAAAGGATAATGTGGCGGATCCGCTTACAAAAGGCTTAACTAGAGAGGGAGTTGAGAAATCATCTAAGGGAATGGGACTATGGCCGAGGACAAGTCAACATGGCGGTAACTCTACCTAGAATTTTGGATATTCCGAGATCTAGGTTCAAGGAGCTCAAACAAAGTTGTGATTGACCGGTTCAACATTGTCAAAGTAAAATCTTTGGTCCATTCTCGTGATGAAGACAATGTTCAGTAACAAGGATAGAATTTACACGTTCTTTAATGATTACCTAAGTTTGATGTGGTATTTATCAAATAGTGTCAATCTAAAGGATTACACGTTTTAGGAATCACCTATGTAAGTGTGTAGTGGAAGCCGCTTCAATGAGAATTCTGTAAGGCCAATTCTCTACGCACTTATGAAACCAGGCGGTGTTCATGGCTGAAACGAACACAACAATGAGAGCCAAAAGACGGTTAAGGGTTGGTTGTGTCACATATGGTTGTCTAGGTATACACTAAAGTTCGACGGTTCAAAGATATCAAATCTACCAATTGACCGAGTATATCCGACATATGTTCACTACGGAAAGTTCAAAGGGAAACCTACTTATCCAGATGCAATTAATCCTTACTTGCAAATCACACAGCTTTCATCTATGATCATTCTTGTTACAGCCATTCCCATTCATGTGGGGGATTGTTGGACTTCAAGCATTGAGCTTTAAAGACTTTAAGCATTGGGCTTTAAAGTCTAAGAGTGTGAATTGGGAAATGGTGGAAATAAAATGGAGGAAAATGAAAATTTGAATCAAGTGAGCTTTTGTCATGAACTTTGTACCACATTGGTGAAAGACAACTACACTTGTGTGTATAAATATAGGATCACTTCTTAGAGATCTTAAAAGGAGTTGAAGAGAATGAACCCTCGCGCCGTCGTCGTCGCTCGCTTGGCTTTGACTTTGGCTTTGGCTTTGGATTTGGATATGGATTTGAAAAATGATCGATCGATAAGATTATTTTTTGGACAAAATTTATTTAATTAATTATTTAATAATTAATTAAATGCCAGTCAGTTCATTAACGGAATTAACTGGAATCCGCTGCCTTTGCTGAACGTTGCTTTCCCTCCTGAACAGATGCTTTTTCCTGAACAGACATCACACCTCTTCCGATAATTGCCTATAAATTCTGAGGCATGGCTTCTTTTTCCACTCACTGAAAAAAACGAAAATTCCCTTCTGAATACTGCATTCTACTTCGCAGTCTCTCTCTCTCAAATTCGTAAGTGTGATTTTGCTCCGTTCTTTGAGTTCGTTGGTATCCTGCAGTTTGTATTGGCACTGTTGCAGGAAGGTTTATTCCGTTTCATCCTGGGAGGATTTAATCCATTACCTTGGCAACTTGTGAGGGGGTTAAAATTCCTTAAGGACACACAAGGAAATTGTGGACTCGAAATATTTCTTGTCGTTTACAAATTTTCTGTTTCTTCTAACAGTTTTATTATTTCTGTTTTGACAGAGTGTAGTCAACAGTTTTAAAATTAAGGCAACGAAAATATGAACACCAAGTTCGCAATAGTAAGTAACCTATTATCATTTATGCAAAGTTATTCAAAAGGGTATAAGTATAAATTTTCAAGATGCCATTTTGGTACCTCTAGCCGTCAGACTATCTGTTGGGGCTTAGCTCTTAAGGTGTGTCCATTTGCTAGCTCACCAAGTGTGCACTATTTTCTGCTTATAACATGCTAGGATAAATTGTGATTAGATTTGTCAATAGCCTAAGTGATATTAGTAATTAAGACAGAGGTTACCTTTCAAAGAAAACACTTTTAGTTCTGTCATGCTTGCCCTCTAAGAAATTTTCTGGTACTCCATGCTTTTCGTTTCTTCTTTTAAGTTGGAAATATTCTTTTAGTTTTTGTTTCTCTTACTACATTCAATTAGGGCTAAAAGTACAAATGCTAGCCTTTCCTAAGCAAGAAGAATTTTAGGCCTTTCCCAGGCAAGCTGAAGCTAATCTTTTTGAAGCATGGTGAAGCTGAGTCTACTGCATTGTTGGAACCTGTAATGAAGCACAAACATGGATGTATATGACAACTAATTTTCTAAAATGGCATGTCAATTGCAATTAACTAATTCAATTCTCTTACTCTCTGCTTATATATTTAGGTACTAGAGTTTCTTCAGGCAGTGGAAGAAAGGTGCTTGCAAACAACATGACCGTTTGTCAACATGTAAATAGTATGTGTAGATAGTATCACCATGGTTGTGAATAAAATATTCATTTGGTAACCATACAATATGAACAAATGTTTTGTTCCTAAACGCATGTAGATAATGAAGCAACATATATGTAATGTTGTCTTCAACACATGTACTTATTCTTTTTACGATTTCATTGAATCATATCAGTTATTCTTGGATAAGGCTCATGGTAAGCTTTTTGCAGCAGAAAAATTAAACACCAAAGAAAAATACAAGAGGAAAATAATCCATTTACTCATTGCTATCTCAAGATCTTAAACTAAGAAGCAAAGGTACAGTTTTAAACTATCATGCGCCTCTCGAATTCACCAATTTATAGAGGGAAAAGGCGAATATACCTGTCTTACACAATTCAAGTTGCTCCCACACTCCCATACTCAGATCTCATAACATTGTCAGGGTCATGATCTCCACAGTAGTATTGGTCACAATAGAATTGAGCAATAGCACAACTTTTTCCACTGCAAGCAATAGGAAAATGCAACAAGCTGATGAATACAATACACAAGTATCAACTTGGGCTTTGCAATGGGCAAGATGACTATATATTAATAGTCCAAAAATACTTTTAAAGTTTGGAAGATTTGAATCAAGATAGAATAGTCTAATTTAGTGACATCGATTTTGGCTTAAGACGTCAATTTAGAGAATTTCTTGTTATTGATTATGCAATCCTTGGCTGACACAAGCATGAAATATAAAACGCAATTGTAATTTATTTTTCTAAACTTATTCAGAAAAGTAGGAAAAAGTAAAAAGTATAAAATAATAAAGACTATAAAGTTCAGAACAATATGTAGACATGAAAAATATTCGACCAAGACATTATAAAAAAATCTAAATCAGCACATGATAACTTTAAATTGTTTGGATTTTTTTGCATTCAACACACAGCTATACATACTGAATCCTTAAAAATTCTTAAAATGTGCATAAATTACAAAAAGAAACTGGATTACGGAAAAGTCCAAACCTGGCAATGGATAATTTCATCAAAACGCCTAGAGGCGTCTTCCCACAGATGCTCTATAACGCCCCATGATATACCTACACAACATTTCGATATACGATAAAAATAGGCCCTTTCATAACTTCTCCACGCACTTTCATAACAAAACTGTGAAATTGAACAGAATACTAATTTAATTACGTATGTAAAACAGAAAAAAAAAACCTAGAATTCAATTGAACTTGAAATCAAAATAAAATTTTGATGAAAAACAGGAAATCAAAATAAAAGACCTTGGAATGAGCACAAAGAGAGTTACATAATTCTGTATTTCCACTGAAATTCATAATAAACCAGAGAAATTAGCAAGCAAGACCAAAGAAAAAACGCCGGGCTGGGACGAAGAAGGAGGAGCAACTCCCTTTCGCCTTTGACGGAGTGGCAGATACAACAATCTGTAGACAAAGAATTCTACATTTATAGAATCCTAAAAAGGATGTCTCTTCTTACTTAGGAGAATAGTTGACAAGCTATTCCCTTGGTATTGTCTGATTGGGTACATGTATATTATTTGTGATGAATGAGAAGTTATTTTAATTACTAATGTATCACAATATACAAAGCACATAGAATATATTCTGGGTGGTTCATGCCTATTAGGTAGGTATTTTCTTATTAGTCTAATAATTTAGTTAACTCAATTGAAATCTTCTTCTTTTTTTTATCTATAGTACATAGACACTAATGAAAGGAAAATGAAGCATCTTAGCAGCTTCTGATAGAGATTGTAGGATGATGTAAGGGGCAAGTTGCTTATCATTGGTTGGCGTGATTTATATAAAATGGGTAAAGGTGGCTATCTTTGAAACACATGTATCACACACGCACACACCTAGATAGATTGAGATTGAGATGGGTGGCTTTAAAAAAGAGTTGATTTTTTACACTGCATGTGTGTGAAGTGTGACATCGATATCTGAAGCTACCTATCACTCAAAATCTAAAGAAGTGTGAACTCCTTTTCATTTCCTATTCACTCATGCCTCTGTTTACTTGTCTAGCTCGCTCAAAAAATGAGCATGTCCTTGTGGCATTATTGAATTGCTTATATTGAATTAATAAGATATCCTTAGAATCCTACAGCAACAGATCACCGACAAAAATGTAGATATAGCAAGTTAAAGATTACTATTTACAGACAATTTACATATTAGCAAAATGCGATGCACCGATTTGAAAGTCAACCAAGGTATGTAGTTGACAGCTTCGTTTGTTGTGGTCTTCGACAAACATACTGAGACCTGTTACATGACATATTCAGGGTAGGAACTTATTCTCCATAAGAATGTATGAAGCAAAAGAAATAAAGAAATGTCATGTGATGAGAGAAGTATCAAGAAGCAGTGTAGCTAAGTTATGTATTTCAACTAAAAAAAAAAGGGCAGCCCGGTGCACTAAGCTCCCGCTATGCGCGGGGTCCGAGGAAGGATTCAACAGAAAATAATTATTCAATACCAAATAATTATTGTAAAACACGTATACATATTTTACATAAAAACATGTAAAGTTGGGCAATTGAAAATAGAACTAATAAAGGCAATATAAGAAGGAAAATGTTCATTAAGCGCATAGTCAATCATACAACTTTTGATAATGTATCCTGAAGTCACTTTCCCTTATGACTCTTGTTATCTAATTAGACCATCATTGAGTACTAATTCATTTTGACTTGCTTCGATGCATTACTTCTTATTAATTAAAAATATTAGATAAAAGCAGCAATCGATCTGTCGAGCATTATTATCTTTCCAATAAAACTACTTAAGTTGCAAAAAGATAATGAAGGTGAGGATATTGTACGTAAAATGCTTCAATAACATATAAGAGGAATTCACATGAAGATATCATGTATATAGTGGAGCTCATCTGATTAAAAGATATATAGATATTCTTTCATGAAATCCCTCTCAAGAGATCCTGATTATTTTTGCATAAAGAAGTAAATTGACGACAAATTATCTTTTTGAGATAAGAAGAGCATCTCACACGCTTTCATATTTCCAGCCAAAAGCTGATGTTTTCTCAATATTCTCTTCGTGTAACTCATAAGAAAAATAATATACCATATCTATGTTCTTCCTCATTTTGAAGAAAGTGAAAGGGAAGAAATCGTAGAACTACCTCATTATCATCAAAGAAGTCATAGAGACTCTATTGTTTGATTTCAGCACTATATCTTCTTAGATTACTGACTATAGAGTATGAAGTCATCACACTGCATTTTATTAGATGGTTCAAAAAGAATTTTGCATAAGAAGGTCCAAAAAGAAAAAATGTATCAAGAGAAGTACTACTGGAATAAAGCAGAACAATAAAATGGAAGTTTCACTCTATATACGTTATTAGACTTTAGAGCCAACTATACTGTACCATACAGCCGAAAATAATTTTTCTGCCCCTCTTCATGTGTGAACTGAAAATCAGTTTTTTTATATATAATAAATTTCTCAAACTAGAAACGACAGAGCTTCTGAATGTGAAAAGCTTTGATCAGCCACCTACTTTAATCAGCACTACAACGTTCAAATGATACTTATAGTTGGGACGAATCTCCTACTTTTAACGTGAAACATATTTATCAGAAATCAATAGTGCTGAACTCCCAGTTTTCCAGTGCCAGACGAAGCAAAAAGCACTATTTGTACTCCTCAGCTTAATTTATTTACTCCAAACGTTAAACTCACGGAACCCAAAAAAAAAAAAAAAAAAAAAACTTAACCAATTCTTAATAAGAAAATCACTCAAAACAGTTTACACGAAATTATTTATACTTTTATAAACTCATTATTTCCTTGTACTCATCATATGACCTCTTAATTAAAGAACGTCATTATTTTAAACAACTTTATTGTTTCTTATATTAGCTTTTTAGTTATAAAATTATTATTTCCTTGTACGGTGACGTTAGGCAAGTAGTAAATCTCCTTTCAAAGCTTTCAAGTTTAATTTCAAGTTCGCATTAGAAACAAGACATATTTTAGATTACGTATTTTCTTTTTATCCTAAATCTTTATGTTATTTTTGTATGTTATTATAAAAGTACAAAACTCCTAAATAGAAACTCCACAAATTTTAACTATAACATTGTTCACATCTTAATTATAGTAGTGCTCACTCCATTAAGGGCTTGATAACGCCAGAAAAAGTATATCTCTCAGTACCAAATTTACATTTGATGCTAATACTATTGTAAATCGTTATGGAGTCTGCTTCTTTCTATCAAAAGTCTGCTAAGAATTACACTGTAATACAAATTTTGATCAATTACATCGCGGTTTTATAAATGTGTCTTCAATGACCAGATTTTAGCACATATGAAATTTGGTATGATGAAATCATAACAAAGTCAAGATAGTTGTTTAGAACTTTGAGTTTTACAAGAATTACTATCTCAAAAACTAATAGTCCGGGTTAAAAGAGCATTTATCGAACGAGATATAAAAGGTTGATATTCTTGTGTGTTTTAATTAGATGAAAATAGAAAATTCCGTGTTAGATCACTTGCAAGATAGATAGGTAAAATTACTTGCAATAATAGATTTCTAGCAACCTTGTGTCACGACCCCGGTTCGCTCTCGTGAACCATCGTGACGGCACCTAGTTTCTACGACTAGGTAAGCCTAAAATGCGGAAAAATAAACCAATTTGCGGAAGAAAAACAAGTAAAACCCAAAATAATGAATAAACAGTGTTTAATAATGCCACTCGGCATACACCATATCAACTTTCAAATACTAACACTTTTCCCAAAATCCGGAATCTCATGAAATCACAAGCTAAGAATGCTACATAGTGCTCTAACTCCAGAATGTCTAAAACAAAGTAAATACAGAAGGGCTGTAACTACAAGAGAGAATAGAGAGAGACTCTTCGATCTGCGGACGCGGCAGATATACCTCGATGTCTCCGAAAGATCGCATCGCCTCAAGGATGGTAAGTCTGAGTAGAGGTACCTGGATCTGCACATGAAAAACATGCGCAGGAAGGGCATGAGTACACCACAGCAGTACTCAGTAAGTGCCAAGCCTAACCTCGGTCGGGTAGTGACGAGGAAGGTCACTTAGCATATTTTGACGCCGTGATTCTGATTTTGACTAGATTCGATGCGAGTGGAGGCCGATTCGAGAGGCAAAGGCGTCGCGGAGTAGTATTTTCACCGGTTTGAGGTATGTAACCATTGTAAATCTGGAACTGAGGGTACAAAACCCCGGTATTTGACTAGCTTTGATAAACACAGTGACGCACATGCTAGGTGACGAGCGTGTGGGTGTGCATCGGTAGGGATTGTGACTTGGTCCGTCCCGTAGCGACTATTAAGCCGCGTATTTGGTTTGGAAATATTATATTATTCCTTGTTATGGGTATTATACTGTATTATTGGTTGTATGCTGTGTTTGGGGCCTTATGCCGACCTGTAGCAACCCTTAGGGGCAATTTGACTATTTTCCTCACTTTACTTGCTAGAAGCAAACTCTCAGTCATGTTTTACCTGCTTAAATGTTTAAAACTGGTTTATTACACTACTCCTAATGGTGAAGACTGTCTGGACTGAGTTCCCTAATTTCCATTATCGTGCCCGAGAGGCTGTGAGGTTAAAGACTGAGAGAGGTTGAGAACCCCAATTGTGAGGATATTTATACATATACATATATATGGATCGGGCTGCACGCCACAATGATGTATATATTGGATCGAGCTGCACGCCGCAGCGATATGACGCTTGGGTTGTAGGAGCCCCTCCGGAGTCTGCACACTCCCAGTGAGCGTAGTCAACTATAAACATATGGATCGGGCTGCACACCGCAGCAGTTACTATGATTTCTATCTTTATGAGATATAAATGAGCCGAGTGCTAAAAGTGAGTACTAAGAGATGAGAATTGAGTCACGAGTGACTGAGAGGCTTCCCGAGGCCACCATATTCTGAGTGATTCTTTGCCCGAGGGGTCCTATTATGCTGTTTCTACTATTTCACTCTTCTTTTAAATAAGTCTCTGTTGGATATATTGGTAAATAACTGTGATGATCCAAACGGTCATCACTTGTTTTAATGTAAATTCTATGACTCTGAGGCCTTGAAAACCTTATTTAGAGTCACCTCGATTTGCGTGCGCAGTCCGGGCGCGTAGCCGGAAAGCTTAAATGAGAAACTGTGTGAAAAATGATAAGTTTTGACTATAAAATAAATTAAATTTGACCTTGGTCAACGTTTTGGGTAAACGGACCAGGACCCGTGATTTGACGGTCCCGGAGGGTCCGTAGGAAAATATGGGACTTGGGCGTATGCGCGAAATCGAATTTCAAGGTCCCAAGCCCGAGAAATGAATTTTTGAAGTAAATTGTTTTCTGAAATTGTTTATAAGGTTTTGAAATGAAATTTGATTAGAACCTGATGGTATCGGGCCTGTACTTTGGTTCCAGCGCCCGATACAGGTCTTATATATGATTTAAGACGTTTTTGTGAAATTTGGTAAAAAAACGGACGTCGTT